CGCTGAAATGGGCAGTGGAGCGTAGTGAGTTCGACATCAGCTACAAACCAAGGATAGCTGTCAAAGGGCAAGCCTTAGCTGATTTTTTGGCAGAATTCACCCCTACACCGAATGTCGAAGAAGAAATGGAACCTGCCGAACCTCAAATATGGAGGCTATCAGTAGACGGATCTTCTGGAGAAGCAGGTTCCGGAGCCGAAATCATATTGGTTGGTCCAGAGAGACACAAACTAGCTTGTGTGGTAAGGTTTGGCTTCAAAGAAACCAATAATGCTGCTGAGTACAAGGCTCTTCTAGCAGGCCTCCTATTGGCTAGGGAATTACAGGTAAAGAGGCTCATTATCAGCAGTGATTCCCAGCTAGTGGTCAACCAGGTCCATGGAAACTTTTTCGCTAGGGATAAGTCCATGGCGGCCTACCTAAAACTGGTAATGAGATTTGTCCCTTCATTTGTAAGGTTTAAGCTAATGCTACCAAGGTCCGACAACTCCCATGCTGACGCACTGGCAAAGCTAGCAAGTAGCAAGGACTCGAAACTACTTATGGTACCGATTGAATGCCTCTCCAGACCCTCAACAGAGGTCGGCGGAACGGTAATGTGGATAGAAAGTACACCACAATGGATGAAACTTATCATTTCCTACCTAAAGGACCAGACCCTACCTCATCAGAAAGAAGAAGCCCAAAAGTTACAGAGAAGGACCGCCCATTTCGATTTCTAGGATGATATATTATATAAACACGGGTTTTCATTACCCCTGCTGAGGTGCATTGGGGATGAGCAAGGGGACTACGTACTCAGAGAAATTAATGAGGGTGTCTGCGGCAATCATGCTGGAGGTTGGTCGTTGGCACAAAAAGTACTGAAGCAAGAATACTACTGGCCTACCTTAAAAAAGGATGCGCAACAGTTCGTCCAGAAACGTGACAAGTGCCAACGTTTCACCACTATTCAGAGATAGCCTTCGCAAGAATTGAATGTGGTAGCCAATCCTTGGCCATTTGCGAAATTGGGGATCGACCGAATCGGGCCTTTACCCAAAGTAGAAGAAGCGGCAGTTTTACCATCGTCGCCATCGACTATTTCACAAAATGGGTGGAAGCTGAACCCCTTGCTAAAATAACTGAAGCCAACAATTCCAAGTTCCTCTGGAAAAACCTCATCTGCAGGTTTGGTATCCCTCATTCGATTGTATCGACAATGGAAAACAGTTCGATAATAAGAAAGTTAGGGAGATGTGTGAGAAATTGGGCATCAAGAAACATTTCTCCTCCCCACATCATCCTCAAGATAATGGGCAGGTTGAAGCGGTAAATAAAACAATCAAATACACCCTGAAAAGGAAACTCGATACCCCTATGGGCTATCAGAACTACCATCCGAAATGCTACTGGGAAAACCTCGTTTTCCATGGCATATAGGGCGAAGGCCATAAGCCCCGTTGAGGTAGGTCTCCCATCCCCCAGAAGGATACACTTCAATGGATAAGCGGTGATGAATTAAGAAGGTGCGGATTGGACCTCCTTGAAGAAATGAGAAATGATTCCCAAATCAAGATGACCACGTACCAAAGAAAAATGACCCGATATTACAATGCCAAGGTAAAGAAGAGATCTTTTCGGGTGAATAATTTGGTACTTCGAAGAGTTTCTTGTCTTCCAAAGAGCCGGGAGCAGG